CTAATCAACCTAACAATTATAACTCCCACTCAAATTTATCCCTTGGACTTCTGGCATATTAATATTCCCAGGTGATTTTGTTACTGTCACACAAACCTTACACAGCTTTCACCCACCCACACAACAAATTCCAAATCCCTTTAAAATCTTACCACATAGAAAACCTGTGATATCCTACAGTCAGCATTCTGAATTACTCATGGTTCCCTAGAGTATGGACTAAACCTTAAGTGATCCTTGCCATTCTCCCTCTTTGAAATTTCATTCTACCCTTCAAGCTCTCTCTTAAATATCACATCCTCACTGAGTGTTTCTCAGCCAACAAAAACATTCACTGTTCACCTACTCTGTGGCAATAACAATAAGAATCTCTGCATTTCACTGGTATTTTCAGTGAAAACTGGTTGTGTTTCCAGGTCATATAATCCCAGTCCATCTATATCAGATTTATGTATGCCTCCTTCTTCTCCACTGGAGATTTTTGTCCTCAAAGACTTGAAGTATCTTGCTGATATGTGCATTCCCATGATCACCTAAACAGTAGCACAGAGTATATACTCAAGTATTTACTGAAGTGAACTAAGTATGGTATCTTCAGAGTATTTACAGCATGGGATTACATGATGGGAAAGTAATTCTAAGACCTCTGAGTCTCCAAACTGGAAATTTCACTTGAAATGCTCTATAAACTCTATCATGTGAAAGGAAGCCGTGGTCCTCATCTTAACTTCAGCTGTCCCTTAGATCTGAGTGTTAGTATAAGAACCAGGTGTAAACATCTATAGTCAACTGATTTTGGACAAGGGTGCCAAGACCATTCAATGGGGAAACAACAATCTTTTCAACAAATGGTGCTGAGACAACTGGATTGCCACATGCAAAAGAATGAGGTTAGATCCTTACTTCTTACCATATATAAAAATTAATTCAAAACAGATTAAAGACCTAAATGTAAGAGCCAAAACTATTAAATTCTTAGAAGAAAACGTGATCTTGGATTTGGCAAAGGATTCTTATATAGGACACTGAAAGCATGAGCAACAAAATAAAAAAGGGGACTTGACTGAAGTTTTTGTGCTTCGAAGACCATCATAAATAAAAGACAACCCACAGAATAGGAGAAAATGTCTGCAAATCATGTTATCTGTTTAAAAAAAAAACTTGTATCTAGACTATATAAAGAATTCTTACAACTCAATAACAACCCAGTTAAAAATTAGCAAAGGATCTAAACAGAAATTTCTCCAAAGAAGATACACATAGGGCCAGTACACACAAGAAAAGACATATGACATCATGAGTCATCAGGAAAATGTAATCAAAACCATACTAAGAAACCACTTCATACTCATTAAAATAGAATAAAAAACATAAGAACAAGTGTGGTGAGGATGTGGAGAAACTGCTACCCTCACATACGGCTGGTAGAAATGTAAAATGACGTGGCCACTTCGACAAACCAGTCCGGCAATTCTTCAAATGATTAAATGTGGAGTTACCTCATGACCCAGTAATTCTTTTTGTTCATGAATGTTTATTGCAGCATTATTTGTAATAGCCAAAATGTGTAAACAACCCAAATGTCCATCAACTGACAAATGGACAAACAAAAAGTGGTACAGCCACATAGTAGAATATTATTTAGGCATAAAAAAGAATTAAGGAGTCTTTGAAAACATTATGCTCCATGAAAAAAGTCAGTCACTAAAGACTACATACTATATGATTTCATTCATACAAAGTCCAGAGTAGGGAAGACTATAGAGACAGAAAAGAAGATAGTGGTAGCTTAAGGTTGGGATCAGAGGGGTTTGAGGAATGGGAGCAGGAGGTAATAGTTAAGGGTATGGGTTTTTTTAATTTATTTTCTTTAGTGATGAAAATGGTCTAAAACAATTATGATGATGATGGCATATATCTGTGAATGTACTAAAATCCATTAAATTGCACATACTAAATGGATACATTGTATGGTATATGAATTGTATCTCAACAAAGCTACTTTTAAAGATTATATTTATTTATGATTTAGAGAGAGGGGAAGGGAGGGAGAAAGGGAGGGAAATAAACATCAATGTGGGGAGAAACATTGATCAGTTGTATATACCCTGACCAGGAAATGAACCCAAAACCCAGGCAAATACCCTAACTGGAATTGAACTGGTGACCTTCTACTTTGTAGAACCACACCCAACCAACTGAACCACACTGGTCAGGGATATCAACAAAGCTGGTTTTTAAAAAAAGTGCAGGCATTTGATATAAATTTCCTGAGTTTATTATTTTTCAGGTGCTGTCTTATCACTACATGCCTCTTTAGGATAAGTACCTTTTAAGCTTAGGGTTGTATCTTTTAAGGAAAAGAGAATACTTCTAAACAATGTAAAGCTTTGCTTCTCAGGTATCAAAGAAGAAGATGGCTTTTGTCAGTCCCTCCCCCATTCCCTTCTGTGCCTCCGATGTTGGCCTCCCATCACTTCGTTCCATAATCACAACAGAAACATGCACTGGGGTTTTATTATGCCTTATTTACTGAATACAGCTTTATGTGACTGTTCTTAAATTTTGAAAGGAAAGGAGCTTAATATTGAGTTTAAAATATAGGGTTCATATACACTAAATTGTACAGTCACTGCAAATTTAACAATTATGACATAAAAGTTGTCTATAGTTTGATTTTCACTTATATGGATTTCAATTGATTTTTTTCCCATCAAATGCCTTTACAGAAGTTTCTACATGAACAATATAATTTAAAAAATCCTAACTTATGTTTTTAAAATTGAAAATCACTAATTTATATGTCTTACTTTCAATTTACAGCTAGATGATAACTATTTTCTTAGGTAACAACTATTTGAAGTAGATGATCTGGATCACAATCACCAGGAATTTTGTCACTAACTAACTCATTGTTGTCTATAAACCAGAAGCAATGTAATTAAGGACAGTTGGTTAAAAATGTAGAATACTAGGCTCATTCCAGTCCTACAGAATCAGAATTTGCACTTCAGTAAGATCCCTAAGTAACTTGTGTATAAAGTTTGAAAAGCACCGACCCAGAGCATTTATTAAACATGCAGATTCCAATGAGGCAAAGGCATGTGCATTTCAAACAAGTATCCTATGGTTTCTGCTGCACACTGAAATATAAGAACTGTTTACAAGAAAAGTGAAGTATTGAAAGAACATCCCTTTAGGGATATTTTGGTATATCAAGAAATACTGTTATCTAGCATTTCCCGTATAGAAGAGCGCAAAAAAAAAATCTATACTCCCTTACAATTAATAACCTGAATCAGTCTACGAAATAAGGGATTTAGATGAACAATCAAAACCAACTTTATTTACAGCTTTCACAATGCACTAACCAAGATAAATGTACTCATACTCAAATTCTGTAGATATTTACTGGAAAAAAGTCAAATACCTTATTAAAAAGTTCCATCCAAATGGAAACATATTATAATTCCTTTTACTGAACTCCAAAACATGTCAACTAAACAGAATGATGAGTTCACAGTACTCTAGTTTACACTAGGTCACTGAATTTTCTACTGAACCTTGCTAGTGGAAAACCTCTGTTGCCCTCGAAAGCAATACAGGGCCTAGGATCCCACAGACATTAACTTTCAATACAGTGGCTGAATAGTTGTATAAAGGGCCAAAAGGATACTAACCCCCAAAGGTAATTTGTTCTGTACGATCATTTTTACTAATTCTTAGGAGATGCTGGTTTTGACAACCCAGCAAACATTTACTAAATGCAAATGTTCAAGGTTTTGTGTACAACACAATGATGAAGGCACTATCCTCAGCCTGGGCAAGCACGTGATCTGAGGGGAGGTAGGGTTTGGCCAACATCTGCAAATACAATTAGCAGAACGTGATCAGTGCTGAAAATGTTTCCCATAAGTTAGTTCCCAGTTGCAGATAACTGAACTTCAAATAACAGATATTTTACAGTAATTTCCAACTGATTTGATGCAGAGCTGAACAAGCCAAGAAAGCTTATTCACAAGCAGATTACAAGGAAGTAAAGCCTGAGGTAAACAAACAATCCTCTGGAAAGCATGCTTACATTTTACTACATACACACACACTTAAAACTGGACAATGAGGTGTACGTGCTTTCTTCAAATGCAAAGACACTAAACATGAACTGGATGCAGGAGACCCAATACAGTTAAGTTCATAGAGGGTGTTTCCTTTGACAAAAACAGGAACTCTCAATTTCAGAGATCGCTGACCATGCGAGAAAAGAGGAAAAGGGAGTGAGGGCCTGTTTTTACTTGTCCCCTGGTAACTTAAAAAAACACACACACACACAACAGTTTCCTGGACTACTTCTTCCCTACAACTTTATGTTTTACAAATACTATGATCCTTTAAAAAAAATCTAGGACTAAAGAAGACAACAAAATCGGTCAAATGAATTTACCTACTTAATAATTCAAAAAAGAGGCACCACCTTCAAGGGGAACTGGCACTGCGTGAAAGGCCATGACTGGGGAACGTGCACCCACGGACTCCCTCCAGACGTTGGGTCACTTAGCGCTCACTTCACTGCTCTCCCCTCTCAGGGGCACATCATCCCTAGGGGAGGGAAAAGCAAGCACCTTTCCAAACAGGCTGCACAGGGAAGAGTGATGAGGTTTACTCAGACCCAGGACAAAACCTTCTCTGGTCTAGAAGAGGTGCAAGTGACACCTACGAAGGCCAGTGTAACAGGAAAAGGACACAGCGAGCTCTGTCAGATCCCTGCTCCTCTGGGGATATGGTCAGAGCCCGGGCCGTCGGCTGCTCTGAGGAGGCCTAGCCACCCAGGCCAACTCCAGCCCACTGACAGGTGCCCCAGGTGGGGTCCGTGTCACAGGTGTCTTCCCGATTAGGTCCTTGCAAACCCAAGGGGGTGGGGAGGGGTAAACCAGGGCAGGGAAAAGCCACCTAAAAGGTAAGACGCAAGGTAGAATGCCGCACACACGGTGACGCGGTCTCACCTCTAGGGTGGAAACAGTGCTGGTGAAAAGGTCTTCTCCCTCCTCCTGCTCTTCGAAGTCGCTGGGCTTCCCGTCCCCCAGCGGAGGAGGCTCCCTCTCAGCCGCCATCTTCGCTTGCCCAGACGACTGCGCGAGCGGCCTCGCGGACCTGTCACGTGAGCACTCAAGATCTGGAAGCAGGCGGCGCGCTGGCCGCCCGGCTCCCCCGCCTCCCTAGCCGGCCTCTCGTGGCCCCGCCTCCAGCCTCGTGATGCACCTCCCGGAGCTCCTGGAGCTCACCCCCAAGCGTTTGCCTATTCCCACCTCCGCGTCTGGGTTTAGGCTCACTTTTCCCGCCCACTCGCTGTACTGAGTTTCGTGGAAGAAACTGGGACTTCTATTACCACATCACCTACTTAGCAGGAGTAGGCCAAATGATTTCTATTGGCGTTACTGGTTTTAAAACCTGCTTTAGGAAGTGGAAGAGCTGGGGAACCGCTTGAATATACCCATAAGAAGGACAAGATTGAGAATTGATGGAAGAGAGACATCTCATAAATCTCTCAAGTGTGTCCTATAGAACTTTGTGATGAGATGGAAATTTTCTGTATCAGTGCCATCTAATGGAATAGCCACAGGCCATGTGTGACCACTGAGCACTTGAAATGTGACTAGTGTGACTTTAATTTTACTTAATTTTAATTAATTTAAATCTAAATAGCCACAGGTGGTTAGAGGCTACCTAGTTCATAATGCAGCTCTAGATAAAAAAAAGACCCTGAATAATATGTTGTCTGAAGTTTATTACAATTTCATCATGGACTACACATTACAGGGTTTGGCAAAAGTAGATTTACAGTTGTTCCTATGTAAAATAATACAATAATTAATAAATAATAATACAAGAATAAAGTCTGTTTCATGAACTCACAACTCACTACTTTGGCCAGCCTTGTATTTTTCCTCGATTAAGAGAAAGGCAGGAAAAATGACAATTACAGAAATAAGTGGGAGATTGGTAAAAGCATCATACTTAATTCCCTCAGCCAATTACTAGCTCTTCATCATGAGAAAGACACTTAGAGACTTCAAGTTCCTTGTCAGTAAAATGGGAATGTTACTTAATCCTCCACTCCCCACATTGCGCTTTACAAATAAAGTACAAACTCTCAGCCCTGACTGGGCTGGTAGCCCTAGTTTCCACTGGCTATGTGCAAAACTGATGTAGCATCTCTGGAATTACTTTTCTTTTGGGTGCATTGGAGCAGGTTTTTCTAGTTGCTAAAATTTCTACTCCTAAATTTTAAAATTTCTATGATAATTTTCAAAAAAGCATTAACCCAAACCACAACTAATTTAAGAAAGTATACCAAGGTCCCGATGTTCTCTGAGTATATTTTATGCATGGGCCAATTGTCACTACCGTGCTACCATCACCATTGCTTTCTAGAGCCACTGCCAGAGGAGTGAGCTGCGGAGGCACATTCCCTGACCTGCACTCCACCACCATGGACAGTCTGAAGTCTGTTACTGAGCAGAAACTTCAACCTCTTCTGAAAGCTTGTAGCCTGATTTGAGGTGATTCCTCTCTGTATCCTTAATTTTTACCCATGCCTTTGTTTATTTCTTTTTTTTCTTTCATGCCTTTGTTTATTCTTACTATTTTTCTGTCTCATGCTATGGTCATTTATATTCTTCTTAGCTTATCTTTTTTACTAGACATTTGAATTAGTTAAAATATAGGTCCAGCTGCTTAAAACAGAGAACCAAATTAAAAGCAGCTTTAAAAATATAGTTTAATTATCCCACATGTAGTACCACAAAGGCTTTGTGAGATCATCCAGGGATTACAGATTCCTTCTGTTGTTCTGCCATCCCTAGGATGTAATCTCTACTTCATGGTCCAAGTTTGCTCAGGACCACAACTACATTCTAACTGGCAGAAAAGAAATAAAAATGAAGTGGATTGATATCTCCTTTCCTTGAAGGGCACAGTCCAGAAGTTGCACACACCACTTTTGTCCACATCCCCTTGATCAGCTTATTAGTTTCAAGGCCATCTCTAGCTACAGGAGACTAGAAAAATACAGTTGTTATTCCACCCCCTAAAAATAAGAGGTTTCCTACTCTAGAAGACATGGAAACTATTATAGGGAATCAGCAGTCTCTGTTTTAAAGCATTCATTCTCATCACAATAGCATACCTGGATTTTATTCTGAATAACCATTACTTTCTCACACTTGACCTGAAGTCTCCTCCAGCTCAGGAATAGAGTACATGACCTCCATCAGGCTTCAGCCAAACATAGCACTGAGTCAGCCCTACTCATTGGTGGGATGTCAGAATCAGCTGCATTTTCCCCAGACTCTCAACAGCATTGTCTTTATTTTCCTATTTAACCTAAATTCCATGAACCAGAATTGTAAGAATGTCTTGATATTTTTTCTCAGCTCTTTTTATCCTTGGCCCTTTGCTCTTCTGTTTTATCTTCTCTAAATTCAAAATTCAACCATTAACTTCTCTATTATACCCACATTACAAAGAGCTTTTGAAAAATAAAACCCAACTTTAACTGAAGATCCTATAAGTCCATTATTTCCAAACCCAAATTCACACTGCCTAGATACCATTGTTTCTTTTACAAATCCAGCAACTACTTTTTCCAGTAGAGGTTCTAAAAAGTCATTTTCTCCTCAAGTATTCCACCATGCTCTCATTTTCAATGACAAAATAAAATCTGCTGAATGAATCCTTCAGCCTTCAAGTATTACTGAAATTCTCTTCACTCTGTGCTTCTATCACTTGCTATGTATGTTTCTTTAATACTTATTATATCATCCTATAATCTTTGCTATTTTTCTATAACCCCTAATTGTCTGGAGGATTATTGTGTTCAGGGGCTATTTTCTGTTTGGCTTTGGATCCTGAGTAAGCCTGTATTAGTTGTCTATTCTTGTAAAACAAGTTACCAGAAATTCAGCAGCTTAAAAACACAAATATCTATTTTCTCATGATTCCTGTGGGTCAGAAATCCAGCTGTAACCTCAGTGCCCCTGACTCAGAGTCTTTACAAGGCCTGCAGTAAAGGTATCTACCAGAACTCCAGTGAATTCCAGACTCAACTGGAAGATTTGCTTCCAAACTGACTCCTGTGACTGGTGGCAAGCCTCGGATCCTTGCTGAATGTTGACTGGAGACACTAGTTCCTTACCTCATTAGCCTCTCCATTGGGCTGTTCGCATAACACGGGAGCTTGCTTCCTTCAGTATGAAGACTCTAAGACCCTCAAGGGAATCAGACAGCACCAAGAAAAGACAACAGAGGGTGAGCATGATAAAAGCCAGAGACTTGTCAAAACCTAATTTCAAAAGTGGCATCTCATTACTTTTGCTGTGTTCTGTTCATTAGAAACGCACACTCAAGGGGAGGGAATGGTGTGGATAAAAAGGAGTAGGGATCTTGGGGGTCACTTTAGATGTTACCACAAACCCACATGGTGTTTAATATGCCATAAAGTAGGTATCTTATTAGAGCCTTAAGTGAATAAATGAACGAATGTGTGTCACTTAGAATAGAAGGCTAAGTGGAAGATATAGATTTGGTAGTTAAAGCCACTAGTACATGAGAGGATCCAGGTAGTCTGGGAAGCACAGCCTTAAGGATCATTTAAGAAGTAGGCAAAGGGAGCAGAGCCAGAAAGAAAACTGAAAAGCAGCAGTCAGAGAGATAGGAAGCAATCCAGAAAAAAAGGCTATAAGTGAAGTAAAAGGACAAAGAAGAGACTGTTGGCATTATCAGTACCTTGGGTATATTAATAGGATGGTAACTGAAGAGAGTGACTACAGTAATTATTGAGTACAAAAAAGTGTACAGCAGCTTGTGATGGTTAATTTTGTGTGTGTCTACTTGGCTAGATAATGGCGCTCAGATACTGGGTCAAACATTATTCTGGATGTTTCCAAGAAGGTGTCCTTGGGATCCGATTAACATTTAAATAGAGGACTCTTAGTAAAGCAGATTACCCACCACAATGTGGGAGGAACTCATCCAATAAACTGAAGGCCTTAATAGAACCAAAACTGTTCTCTACTGAGCAAAAAGAAATTCTGCAAGCAAACTGCCTTTGGATTTGAATTGCAACTTTTGCCTGAGTCTCCAGCCTGTTGGTACTACTACAGTAGATTTTGGACTCACCATGCCTCCACAATTCTGTAAGCCAATTAGGCTTACAATAAATATCCCACTTTCTCTCTCCCCACCTCCATCACTCTTTCTCTCTCTCTCCATATATACTTGTTTTATATATATATATATAATTTATATATTATATATATAAATTTATATAAATAAATGTTATATATTCTATTATTACAGATATATTCCATTATAATGTAAAATATAAATTAAAATATTATATATTATATATAAAATTTATATGTACAAAATTTATATATAATATTTGGATAAATATAGTCTATTATAAAATATATTTATATTATATATAATCTATATATTACATATACAGAGAAAGGTCTGTCCAGAAGGTATCTAGCCATCTAATATGAAAAATAGAGACATTTATTGAAGAAGATACAAGAAATATTGTACATAGTCATTTGGATTATTTCTAGCCTTTAGTGATTATAAATAAAACTATAAATATCTGAATTAAAAAAAAGAAATATTGTACATAGGACAATGAGACCTCAGTCCCCTTCAAACTAGGTACCTTGGGACCTCACACAGTTCTCCCAATTACCATTAGTTGCCCTCTCATATTTTACTGAATCTCATTGACAGTCTGAAATCTCTTCCCTTTCAAAGGTGATTTAAGTTTTAGGAAAAACCAGAAGTCACAGGGTGCCAAATGTGGGCTTTCGGGGGTCTGAGTCACCTGAATGATTTGATGGTTTGCCAAAAATCTCTGCACAAGATGTGATGCATTAGTGGGTGCATTGTCATCACGAAGCTGCCATTCATCAGTAGCCCAAAGATTTGGACTTCTGAATCATGCCAATAATTTCTGCAGAGGAATATTCAAGCCTAACACAAAATTTGACACAGGTTTGTTCTTCTACTTACTCAGTTATTTTGAATGTGACAGTCACACAGTACACATACTCACCCAATGGCATATACTCCTCCATTGACTAGTACAATGAAGTCATCATG